GTCATAGCTGTTCATCTTTCTGATGGATAAACAGAGGAGTCAGTGTTATATTCCAATTTGAGGATCACATCAAAGTGGAGCCAGTCCTAATAATGTGGTCTGGCAAAATCTGAACTGGTGCGATTTGGCTGTGATTTGATAAGACTTCTTGGTTTTTAAACATGCCATCATGTACCATGTGAATTTAGTTAAACCAAATGGAAAAGTTTATTCTCAACTTGGATTTTTTCACCAAGATGAATAACTGACTGGGATCTGTGATTACTAGTTTTTAATGCTATACTCCCTTACATTTTTCCTGGTGGTTTTTGTGTTTGATAAATGTGTGTTAGAAAAATGAAGTACAGTTACTGTAAGGTATTAATTTACTCTCTGACTTAATGTTTCACACTGGATTTTTACAGTGAAAGTTTTGCTGCTGCTCCCTCATCTCTTTTTTCCATTGCTACCTGAGTAGCATTTTGTTTAAAATAAAGTTGTCAATTGTTATCATGAGGGATGAATCTCCAATATTTGGTGCTTAAAAAAAACCATAGCTGTTAAAATAAGGCAGTATATAAGAATTCAAATCTTCTTAAAATATAGCTTCATATTTTTAGGCCATCTTCAGCATTTCCCAATCCTCTGGAGAGTAAGAAACCAAGTAGGTGATCTAGATGGGGCAGAAAAACATGTCAGGGAGAGGAGTTTCATGAGAAGCATCAGCAGAAAGTAAACAGCTTATTGTTTAAGTCAAAATAAATAAAGATTTTTCACCAGAAATTGGGGTGAATTGTAAATGATCAACTAGAGAAGTCTCTTCTTTAAGGGTTTTTTTTTGTGGCAGAAAAACTATGATCATATTAATATAAATTAGTATCAGTATAGGACTCATGTTTTCTTTCTGATGGCCATGAACTCTGAGATGCCAGATTTTTGCCTAGATGCTTGTTCCAGGAGTTTGGAGTTGCTTTCTGCTATCAGTGGAAAAAAAACATAATTCCTGTTATTCTGGAAGGTAACGATTGACAATTCTAAGAAATACTAATTGTATTTGCTTGGCTGGAGTTATGAAACTATAGGGGGAGGATATTGAGCCTTTTTAGGGCTGATCTTTTAAGTCCTATTATTCTCTGTGGGTTTTTGCCAAGTTGTGTTGTCAGGGAATCTAAACAATTTTGCACACCCCAAGCCCCTTCCTGAGGCCTGTAAAAATCAGTTCAATTCTTCTGTTCATATCTGTTTATAAAAGGGTTGGGGTTTATTTTTTATAGGTAAATAGTCATGATTCAATAATATCTGGGATCATATCTTCCACTTGGGTAATCCTTCTCGTTAATTTATGGCTTGCTATGGGTTTTTTTGCACATAGTCTCTGCAGTGATTAATCAGAATTCTAAAACTGACAGCCCATAGCAGCATTACAAATGACAAAGCCAAACCTAAAAGTTGTAACCAGTTAACTTTGGCTTCTTGAGAGTCATTTGTTGGGAGAAGTACTCCTCATCCCTTGGAATTATTAGATGCACTTGAAATTATGATAACTGAATGAAACTTCTGATTTTCATTGTGCCAGGTGAGCATTTAATGGAAGATACCCTGTGGCAATGGTGGTCAGTGCTAGCTTTAGCCTGTTTTGCTTTCAAGCTGGATAAGAATGGGTACTGAGCCCTGTATCTGCTCAGGAACTCTGCACTAGTACTTTTTACAATAACTACTATGTTGTGCATAATTATCTTTCATTGAGCCCTGCTAAACTGGGGGAAAAAATGGAAGAGAGTAGAGACAATATGGAAAGGTACCGTTGAGGATGACAGAATAATTGAATGGCCTGGGTTGGATAGGACCTTAAAGATTGTCGAGTTTCAACTTCCCACCATGGGCAGGGACACCTCCGCTATCCCAGGCTGCTCCCAGCCCCATCCAGCCTGGCCTTGGGCACTGCCAGGGATCCAGGGGCAGCCACAGCTGCTCTGGGCACCTGTGCCAGGGCTGCCCACCCTCCCAGGGAGGAATTACTTCCCAGTATCCCATAACCCTCCCTCTGTCAGTTTGAACCCATTTCCCCTTGTCCTGTCAATCCCTTGTAAATAGTGTCTCTCCACCTTTCCTGTCAGCTCCTTCAGGTACTGGAAGGTCACAATTAGGTCATCCTGAAGCTTCTCTTTTTCAGGCTGAACAATCCCAGCTCTCACAGCTTTTCCTCCCAGCAGAGCTGCTCTGTTCCTCTGATCATCCTGGTGCCTCCTTTGGACTCTCTCCAGAAGCTCCAGGTCCTCCCCAGGGCTCCAGGGCTGGGGAGCTCTGCAGATGGGATCTCACCTGAGTGGGTGGAGGGCCAGAATGCCTTCCTTGGCCTGCTTTGATTCTCTTGTTTCTCATTCTCCCTGACCTTTGGTTGCTTTCTATACTGCTTTTCTACATGTGACAGCATAGCATTTTTTGGTTCTAATATAGACTTCATGTTCACTTTTTCCTTGCACCTCTATGGTTCTGCAGCAGAGTTGATCTTAGAAATCTTTCCAGTGGGAGAGGCAGCTTCATCACTGGAGCATTGTGGCTCCTGTGGGATGAGTTTGTGGGAAGTGTATCTGAATTTATTTTTCCATCTAGTTGGAGGTGCTAAATGACTGTATAAAAAAAGTGAGGCAGAGCTGTGAGTGCTTCAGAGAGGAGCTGAGAAGTCTGGCTCTCAAGTTCGTGCTAAGAGTCTTGCTGACTTTGGAGCTAGCAAGAGGAAGATGAGCAGGGAGGTACACATCTGGGAATCGAGGCAGCTTGTCATTAGGTGTGATGAAGGCAAAAGTATCTCAAAGATGACCTAGTTTAACAACTGAGGGAGAGGGTGGAGGATTGTGGGAAGCTGCTATTCTCTTTCTCTAAGAGAAAAATTCCTCAGCCTTGAAAGAACGATGAGCCACTTTTGTTCCTCAAAAGAGTCATAGTGTACATGAAAAGAGACATTGGAGGGATTAAAGCTGAACAGATTAATATTAACCATAACCGAAGAATTAGATTAGTAGCTGTGTGCTGTAGGCTACACAATTATAGGAGGCAACTAGCAACAACAGGAACAAAAAGGTTGAGAAAGAGCTTGTGAAATGAAAGAAATTTTCTTATTGGAGTGATGGAAAATGAGACCTATTCTTACTTTAACTGCATTAAATGAAGTCAATAAAATCCAGCACACTTGTGGATATACTTCTATGAAATATTTACTTTACCTTAAATAGTTCTTTGATTTAAACAATGCAGCTAATTATAAAAAGGTGCTCTGGATGTATTGCTCTAAAGAGCATACATTACCATAAATTACCATTGGCCATACATTAGCTGGTTTTACAGTTGGGATCCTTCTGATACCAGATGAATTGGTTAAAACTATAAAAGAGAACACAACTGGAAGGTGCTAAATCTGTTCATCATGTTTCTGGATTATTAAAACACTTCAGTGTGTGAGGAATGAAGGAAGAATAAGGAGAAGCTTGTAGGAGAAACAGAGTATGCAAAAGTTGGAGGTAAGGCTACTATAATATAGAGGGTATATAAAGATTAGAGGATATAGTGGGTTTTTAAAAATTTTATGTGAGATAAGCCAAGGACAAAAGATAAATGGTAATTGCTTTGAAATCTCTGTCACTGATAGGAAGAGTCTACACAAGGAGTATTGCAGAAGGGAACATAAAATGATATAGTTTTGTGTTACTTTTGAGTAGTACTTTCACAGATAATTAATTTTTAAAAATCTGTGATTTTCTTCTTGAGAACACCATAAACAGTTTCTTGTTGTTCACGTCACAGCCCAGTACTGTTTGGAGCGTGAAGAAATGTAAGTGATAAAGAAGCACACAAGATAAAAAAATGGACATTAGGCAGTGCTGCAGCCTCCTGGTACTGCCAGCAGCTCTGGCTCGTGCCTGAGGTGTGGAGCAGCTCCTCAAGGTGCTGTTTGTCCCCCGGCTTCTGATGGTCCTCATTGCAAGGGTTAGAAATGCCCTTTGGCCTCCAGCCTCATTTATTCTTCCCCAGATGGTTTTATGCTCTTGTTGTGCAATGTTTACATAGCTGAATCTTTGGTCCTGCCCACACCTCTTGCTCTCCCACTGTTGTTCAGGAAGCAAAAGCACAGGATCCTTCAAGCTCCAGCACCAGTCATGGGATTTTTACTTCCCTTTTCTTTACTCTGCAAGTAAATAAATGTTTTTTTTCATGGAAGGATATAAACTGGGTGATTTTATTATTTTGAGATCACATTTTTAGGATTATAGAGGTTGTATTTATTTCAGTGTAGGGGACATGGAGATTTTAATCAGAAACTGAAGTCTCCTGAATAACTGGCTGCTACCATACAGTGAAGGAATGAGCAACAGTACAGCCACTGGTACAAAAGACAGCAGGAGAGCCCTGGAGGGGCTGACTGCAAGCAGATCCTTCACGTTCTTCTTGCCTTTAGAAAAATGTCTCTGGCTGGATATCAGGAGAAAAGAGTAGAAGAGATTTAGTTTTGAACATGGACCTGTAAAGTTGCCCATTCTGTTGGGTTAGAGGAGTGGATCTCTGGTGTCCTGTGGAATAGAGGCAGCAGAGCCCACGTCTTAATAGCCCTCAGTCTGCTAGATGGTTACCAGGGTAAAAAAATTAATGTTTTATTCACTCTTTGAATGTAACACAGGACAGGCTGGTCTTTTGTTATTTCCACATCCTTCCCAAGTTTGGTGAGTTGGAAGGTTATGTATAAGTGGCATGGCAAAAGTCCCATTTCCTAGAATGGGAAAAAAACACTTTTGTTCTGAGGAGACCGTGCTATCAGCATGGACTGGATTAAAGCACACTTATTTTTGTAGCTGTGGCAACTTTCTGTGTAATCTTCTATTTTGAGAAATAAAGATAAGATTAGTAAAACATTCCTCATATCTGATTCTATTGTTGTGATAGTAGAGAATATTATTTCTTTGTCTGTGGCCTTATTAAATGTAAGAGCAAAGATAAACCCAAATGTGTATTTTTGTTGTTTTCCAAAGGATCCATCCCCCTGAATTTTTCAAGAACAAATATGCTGTGGATGAAGCCCACTATGTGACTGAGGTGAGTTGTATGTGTCTCTGAATATTTTTTTCTGTGAATACAAATTCAATAAGTGGCAATGACTTTGCTTAATTTGAGTCCCTTTCTTACTGAATGTCTCCTGACTTGGTGGGATCGTCTCTCCCTTCCCTATTACTGGAAAATGTCCTTTATCTTACACAGCACTTGCAGATTTTTTTTTGAGGCTGCTCTTTTGATCTGAACATAATTCTTAATCCAAAGGCAGTCTCATAAACATGTTCTGTGCATGATGAGACCTGTCAGTGTGTGGCTTTATCCAACTAAAATATATTGCTAAATGCATGTTTTTGAATGCCTTGGAGATTTGTGGAGATTGCTGTCAAGGAGGTTCCATTCTAGCTCAGACTTCAGAGCCTACATTCATTTTATACCTCCAAAAAGCTGTTGGGAAAGGCTGCCTCCCTCACTCTTATTTTCTATAGAATCATCCTATTACTTGAGCAAGCAAAGATATTCACATTTCTGGGTGCAAGTGTGCCTTGCTTAGTTAGGTTTCTGATTTAATTTCTGAGCAGATATTTGTACACTTGTGCACCTGGCCAGCAATCGTTTCTGTGGCAGGAAGTCTCAGCAGGTGAGGACAGTGTTCCTGCCAAGCCCTGTGTGTGACTTTCATGGAGAGCAGCTTGAAGAAGACTCCTCTGCTTCTTCTGTTCCCATAGAACACTAACTCTGACTCTCTAGACCAAAAGTTTTGCTCTCATCAGCTCTGAGGAGGTTTCATTTAATTTTCATAGTGAGTCCAGCAACAAAGTAAAGTTTGATCTACATGTCAGAAGCTGGGAGTGGAGGGAGCTATGGAGAGGTTGATTTTTGCCATGTGTGAGTTGGAGTCATGTAGTGTTCAGGTGCTCCAGTGCTCATCTGTCAGATGGTGAAGATTGCAAGTGGAAAATACATGTTTTATTTTTAAAAATCACATTCACCTTAGTCATTTTGGGTCACTTTCTGTCAACAAATGTCTTTATTGTAGTTCTGTTCTCTGCTTTTTTACTGCTTAAAAACTTCATTGATGGGAAAAAGAGCTCTTTATGTGGACCAGTAAATAAATTTAAAAATGAAGGCTGCTTTTAACCCGGACTGCATGTATTGAAGTGGGAAGCTGTTGAAGCTTGCAGCATAAGTGTGTAGCTCGCAATGGTTCCTTCAGCTTTTGCTTTTTTGCCAAGGAATTGGCTTTCCACCATCAGGACACCAGGGGCCTTTTTTATAGAATAGCTTTACATCAATGAATGACCAACATGTGTAAGTGTGTTATCCTGATATTTCATGAGATTAAGAAATGAAAAAAATAAAGGGTGGAATTGATTTTTTGAGATTCACTGCCATATACTTTCTTTTGTTGATGTTAGTAGTGTACTATTAAGGTGGTTTAAAGTTTATAGAATATTGCTCCATGAAGTTAGGTCATGTGTTCAGTGCCTCGTGATATGTGTAATCCAGCACCCACCCTTCTGCAGCTGCTCTGAAAGCCCAGCACTCTACAAGTCCAGTGATTTTGTTCTCAGTTTGTGAATGTTTGAAGGAGGCTGAAGGAGCCTACTAAAATGATTGGCCAGTAGAAGTGACCCAGTGAGAATAAAAGTAAACATTCTTGGCTAAGCATTTAGCACATTGTAACATAATAATATTAATGCAAATGTGTGCAGGATAGAGCACACTGACGTTCCTTATTTCTGTGTGACATTACAACTTTTTGGCTCCTGGGTTGTGTCTTCCTAATGATGACAATAGACATGAGTTATAATTGGTATTTATGTCTTTAAATGACACAATGAACTTGATCACTGTCAATATTTTGTATTCTGCTGTCTCTTGTTGCATGTCTCAGGTAATGCTACAGTATCTGAAAGGTAGCAAAGGAACATTTGTCTTTGCAGCTCATTTACTTTATATACAGTGAATATTGATGAAACTGGTATCAATGTGGTTATATGGAAGAAAAAAAGGACAAATAACAGTTATCTAAACCCTCTTTTTAGATATCCAGTGTATTGGCTTCGAAGAAACCTGCGGTACTTCTCACTTTGGTAAGTCGTATTTGGAAAGTACTATATTTTTTCAATAAGGATACCAGTTTATGCAGCATTTCTTTGCACTGTCTTTCTCGGTTTTTTTCTTCCCCATCTTACACAAAATTGGAGGCCACCTGTGTAGAACAATCTAGTCTTCTGTCCCCTCCATGGTTTCAAGATTTGTAGCCTCTGGCCTCTCCCATCTGCATTCTATCTGCCAAAAGCTGTATCAGTTTACTGGTAAAACATGGCAAGTCTGGAGACCATGATGGCCTCCAGCCTGCTTTCACTGACTCCAAACTCCTTTTTCCTTTCATGCTGTTCTGGCCATGTCATGAGCATGTTTGGGCCTTTCTGTGGCAATCCCACAAGGATTCAGGGAATACTTTTTCTGCATAGAGTGGTTTAGTAAGAACAGCTTCTGGGAGCAGTGAGGCAATATCAAATGCTTGCTAAGTATTTTGAATGGTGCTTGCTTATTTCTTGGGAAGAAGCATGAATGAGTGGAGGTGAAGACTACAAGTTTCTCCTTCCCATCACCTATCTCCCAACTGCTCCCCTGCTTTACAGGTGTTTTGTAAACTCCTACTATCTGTTTTATTGTCTCTAATATTTATAAAATTTATTTACTGACTCTGAGCTTTCCCTTACAGCAGATGCAGTTGCAGCTCCTGGATTTGTTGTTTTCCCATGATAGAGACCAGACAGAAATCATAACAAAAAATCCTTCCTTAGGAAGTTACATGGCCTCAAATATGAATTCTTCATCCATTAAGAACAGAGGCCTTAAATAATTTTCAGTCTTTCTTTCACTTATATTTGTATATACACATATAGTCTTAAAAGATGCCCCTATGTCTTAATTTCATGTTCTTCAAGAGAAATGAGAAATTGAATGTTTGACTATCTTGTGCTTCTTACTGTGCACTTCTTCACATGGAGTTGTTATCACTCTGGGAAGTATCCTGTTGTAATCAGGAATTTTCACATAATTTGTGGCTGAGAGGAGGGTGCTGTGGTGCTTTCACATTCCTCCCACTCCTGTGAAGTATTCAGAGAAGGGAAGAGCATTTCTCTGTCTGCTGCTGAATGGAAACCTGGTCCTCTCCTCCTGTGGTCTCGTTCCAGAACTGCTGCTCTGCAGGGTTCCCCAGGCACATGTCAGAAGTGTTCATCTGCTGTGTAGCAGCCAAAATACTCTTGCTTGAATGGAAAGCTGTAAGGGAGCAGCAAGCAAATTTAAATAGTAACATTGCCAAGGCATAACAATTTATTTTAATATTAAATTACTTTAGAAGAGGCTTTGCCTATTTTTCCTTCTCTTGCCCTGTATAATTATATTATAGGTCTCTCTCAAGACATAAGGGCATTAGAAATCAAAGCTTGTCTTGTTCCTAAGCAGCAGATCCTGACCTGATTTCTGTGCTGGTCTCCTATGGAACTAATTATTTCTTATATTGGACTGTATTTGAACAAACAGCTGTTTTTTTTTTTATTTATAGTGATTCAGGTAAACTTATGTGTAAGTTTTCCCAAATACTTACTGCAATCAAGTTCTCCCCATGATTTAAATTTTAAATACACTTGTTTGGCTCAGAATCACAGTCCTTTTTAATCTTTTTCCTCCCAGCGTGGTGTTAATACTGATAGTGGAAATGTCTCCAAAGAAGCTTCCTTTGAGGGGATCAGCCAGTAAGTGACACAGCTTTTTTATACATTAATTGTTACATGGTTATGTTGAATTCATTTTAAATTCCAAATTGAATTTTGTTTTTTCTTGATGAAAGGATGTTGAACGGCAGATCTGATGCCAAATAAAGAATTTTTGATACATGTTTCTAATGACTTGAAGTACAATTGGGATTTTTTTTTTAAATCTCTCTTGCATCTAAGTTAATCCATATTTTCTCTTTGTCTGTGTTTATCCTGTAGCTATTTAAAACCAAATAGACCCATCCTTATATATCCATTTCCACTTCTGGGATTGGAATATTTATTTTTCAGATTGAAGAAAAATTAATCTTTAAGACTAGCCTCTTTCTCCTACTAAGTTCCTTGTACATTATTAATCTAGGTATTATGGATTCTGGTAACGCACAGTCTTCTGAAATAATGTTACATTACAGGTGTAAAATAAATTCACAAATCACATAAAAAAGGAATAATCATTTCTCTGTCTAGATGTGAGCTTTTAGTGTCCTTTAATGCTGTCTTTTTATGAAGTTTGGCTACTAGTGAGGTGAAAATGTCTTCCTGCATGCAGTATTTTGAAAGGGCAGCAAATGGAAATACATTGCAGCTTTCTCTGGTCTGTGAGGATGTTGGCCGCAATTTTTAATGAAATACAACTGTCTGTTCTGTTACAATATCTTTTAAATAAGATAATTTTCTGTTTTTAGCTCAATGTATGGCAAAAAAGAAACAGACCCCCTCATTAAAAAGCCTGTTAAAATAAGCAGTTGTGCTGAGATGTTGATCATTGACTCCCAGGCACCTCACTGTATTTTTTTTCCAACCTCTGTCAGCAGCATGTTAATTCTACAGAGAGGATGGTAGGGCACAGAATTTGCTGTGAGCCTGGGCACTCATTTGTATAATCTGAGCTTGCTTTCTGCTGGGATTGTTTCTTTGTGACAAGCAATCTGAAATCTGGAATCTGATTTCGTAATTACTTAGTTCTCCCCTCTGTATCCTAATGGGAGTTTAATGGTTCTGTCAGGGATATTTGGAACAAGGTGCCAGGCATTTAGACATCTTTTGCTGCCCAATATGTATGCCACAATACATGCAGGTCGCTTCTAACGAGTGTTTGGTGTCCTTCCTGCTCTTACAGCCAGTGTGAGTTCTGTAGCTTCGTCCAAGATGTCATCTTACACTCTCCACATACAGGTGGACTCCAAAATCTGTGTGGAGCAGTATCTCCAGTTTTATCTGATACACTTCCACATGAAATGCACACAGTTATTCGCTTCGCTGGCAATTCTTTATTGGAATGATGTACAAAAGTATGTTTGAACTACCAAAACACCCTTTTTTACCCTGAATTTCACTAAACTCAGTTTAAAGAGTTGAAACATTAGCCTATTCACTAGTCAACATTAAGTTAGGAAGCCGCTCCATTTAGCACTTCATTTGAGATTTTAATAGAGTGTCTCCTACAACACTGAATGATATTTAACATTGGCTTCTCAGTTGGTGCTGAACTGTGTGCTCCAGGAGGAGTGCTTCTCCATTCCCAGCAGGGATTTCCAGCTGGGAATTCTCTTTGAGACTTGGCACATGTTCATCCCTCTCCACCCCTAGGCACTAGGTCATTCATTTTGCTGCCTTTGACAGGTCTGGTTGGTACCTTTCCCTCCCAAGCTCACAGTATGGAAGAGCATGCACTGATGTTGTTGGATTAACTCCCCTCTTCTGACAGAGACCATGCCTTCAAACCACTGTCACTCCAGTCTTTCTTTGAGCTCTCTGTTTCTCTTTGTGTCTTCTCCTGGGCTGTGGTGGCTCTGGTGAGCTCGTGCTTGTTCCACGTGCAGGGGGTAACTGGTGGTCTGGAGGAGGGGGTGAGCTTCCTTTTAAACTGCTTGCCTCAGAATTTTGTTACTGTCTATATAAACCAATTCATTTCATATTTGATTTCAACACAGACCCAAAACAAGTTCAACTTTCCTCCTTTCCTGTTTCTCCACCTGTCCTGTAGCAAATGTTTCCTTTATAGAAAGATGTATTTCAGATGTATTGACTGCTTCCAAGAGGATTACACCCAGATCAATGTGTTCCTTCAAACTGCTCCCTCCTGGCTGTGCCTTGCTGGATCTCTCAGTCCTCAGCTCAGCCAGGCTTTGCCCTGGCCAGGATGCTCTATTTTATGTCCGATCTCCTGTTTTGTTTTCTGGCTTCCTGGCTAAGATCTAATTTCTTGCTAGGACCATTTTGTGTTTCTCTTGCTCTCATATGTCTTTTTTTCTCCTAGGCTGACCTTGTCCAGTAGGGGTGGGGGCTGTAGGGGGTATTTAATGATGGATAATAATGAAAATACTGTCTAATTTCCTGAAAAAGGTCAATCTTACTCTTTTTGCAGGCTGTTCATCTGCTTCTGTGAGAAGCTGTCTTTTTCTTGCCCTAGTAATGTTGCTTCCCTGCCTTACTTTTTGAATCTTTTGAACTTCTTCTGGAGCATTATTACCTAAGTTATTTGGTTAATTTTTCTACTGTCATAAACAGTCATTTGAGACAAAAATGACTGCTGTGGTCGTGGTGTATTCCTGTGTCCTGAGGATCACTCTGAAGTTATTTTTGTCATACTAGCAATAGCCAAGCTTGATTCTATCATGGTTATAGAATCTATAGTGGTGAATTATTTCATGGTTTCCATTAGTTTAGCTCTCTCATATAGCAAGGCATGTTGCCCTTCAGAAAAGCTGGTGTGTTGCTGCAGGCTGTGGGAACAGAGGCCAGTGGTACACAGAAAGTTCCCTGCTCAACAGAGGGTCACTGAGGGACCAGCCTGGGACAGGGATTAAAACAGGAGACCTGGACCATGTTCTAGTGCTGCTCCTGGTAACTCTCCTCAGGTCAGCTCTGTTTGCAGCTCTTCAGAATCCTACAGAAGGGGATTGCTCACTTGCCCCAGAAGGCTGAAGCATAGAAGGCAGATTTCTAAAGTAGTTCCAGTGCTTTCTTTTCTAGAAATTCCTATTTCTGTTTGCTAATAGAGACCAGTTCTGCGTTTGCAGGTTTTTTTCCCTAATTCATGGATCCATTCTTCAAATGTGCAGGATTTTCTTTAATCTAATCTTGTCAGTTATGTAGCCTTTGTAAAAATGCTTTGAGAGGATGTGACTCACCATGCAGCAAATGTATTTTTAACCTGTAGGGTTGAACAGTAATGTGCCATATACTTTAAAGCACTGTTGACTAAATCTTTGCTCACTGTGTTGGCAGGGTTTTTTCACCCTCAGAGTCAATCGAGGTAAATGATGGATAGTTTAAGCAATGTATCTAATGTTTAAAAGTTTTGCAGTGAATTCTCCTTTCATATTGGATAGCCAAATCAGTTCATTAGGACAAAGAATCTCCATGTTGAAGAAGAGAAGAAAATTCTAACATTGCGTATCAATATGTTTTAGATTTTTATCACTGTAGACACACACAGTGTATTCATTAAACTGACAAAAAGAGGTCTCATTATACAGAGCTTTTATATGGGAGGTGTAGATTTCTAGGGTTATTTTAACTAATGAATTTGTCTTGCATGTGAAAGGACAACTCAGTATGAAATCAATTTGGACATGCCTTAAAACGTAGTATTTCTTAGTTCTGCATTGATTAAATGGGAGCACTAATATGTTACAGATTGCAACTGTAGCAAATGCCAATTTGTTTTCTTCCTCAAGACCACGTATCTCATCATCTGAGTATTGTGAATTTGCAAATTGGAGAAAAATGTAAAATTAGATTGCGCTGCCTAATCCTCCTAACATGAGGATAGTACATGTTTTGTTATGAAGAAGTTGCTGTCTAGTGAGATCAAAACTTTGCTGGGAGGCCATGGTCAGGGGATTTTATGTAGGGTTTTGTGCACAAATTCTGTGAATTAAACACCATTTGTATACCATACTGTTGGTGGTGAAAAGCTGTTGAGTTTAACGTAACTTTCAGGATGTGGTTGGTTTGTTTAGCTGCCTTGCTGGTAGATGTCCTGGTGCTGGCCAGGACAGGGTTGGTTTTCTGCAGTGTCCAGGATGGGGCACGGCCAGGACCCAGGTGAGCTGTCCCAGCTCACGTCAGGGCTGGGGCTGGGGAAGGGACTCTCTTGCTTTGGAGAAGAAGGGTGTTCCTTCCTGCAGAGAAATGTGATGGGCAGAGTGGTCCCATTTGGTATTTTGTTTATTGTCAAGGGCTTTCCATGTAAATATTTTCTTTGACTTACAGCTTTTGCTCTTAATTTTGTAGCTGTTGCTGTTCATTTTCTTATCTCATTGCTGTTTCCAGAAAATTATTCTTGTCTCAACCCATCATCTTTGCCTTTTGTACTTTTACTTGGAGGGGTAGGGGAAGCAAGTGACACTGTGGTTCTAGTGGGAGCACTGAAGAAAGAAAATGGGATGACTTTTGAAGGACTATTCTGCTCCAAAGGTTTGAAAGTTCACCCCTGAACGGCTACAGGACCCTGTAAAAGTGAAAAAATATGTGACAGCAGAAAAGCTGTGGCAATTCCAGAAGGGCACAAAGTCATGCAACGTGCTGGGCTCTGGCTGTGATTTATCAGACACTAGACAGCGCCCTCAGGGGAGGAGGAGGAAAGCAGACAACAGGTGCTGTGGGCACTCCCAACTGCAGCTGAGCAGAGGAACAGCCCATGCTGGGAGCAGTTGGACCTGTAGAGAAAAAGAAATCCAAGACAATCCATTTGCTTAGTGAGGGATGAAGAGGAAGCAGGGTCCTCACAACAGGAGGAAAAGGCAGAGCCAGAGATAATCACCTGATCCCTATCCCCAGGTGAGCTGGGAGATGTGCAAAAATATTTTAGCTGCCAGCTGGGAGAGCCCCATGTAACCCAGCTGCTCCAGTGCTGGAATATTGTGGCCCACAATATGAATTCAAGGAGTGAAGCGAAGAAGCTGGGATCCCTATCCCAGAATACGGAATTGACCAGGGGATTAGAAAATGAGCAGAAACTCAGTCTCTGGAGTCAACTCCTGTCAAGCATGAGGGAAAGGTATTCTCTCAAGGATGGTCTAATAATGCAAAGAGAGAAGTGGAACACCATGGAGCAAGGTATCCAGTACCTGAGAGGGTTATCTGTGCTGGAGGTACTCTATAAGTATTCAAAACAGTCCCCTGTAAATCCAGATGACATCTGGATGTGGTAGAAGTTCCTATGGAGCATGCCATCACTGTGTACCAGCTCATTGGCAGCGAAGTCATGAAATAAGAACAGTCAGTGGATAATTTGGTTATTAATTGCAAGCTATATGAAGAAAGTATTTCTTACCCAGCATGGTTCTGCATCACATCTGTGGAAAGACTGTCCAAGGATATCTAACAATTTAAAGAGGGCCACCAAAAATTTAAAGAAGTGTCCCATGCTCTGCCAGTACAGAGCAGTCCCTGGTATTGGGAACAAGTCTCAAGACTTGCTTGAGAGAGAGGGGACACACCATGAGGTAATCTGTGGTTTAACCTGCATGATCATGGAGAGGACATGAGGAAGTGGGATGAAAACCCCACCCCTGCCCTGGGAACACTGGTATGTGAGTTGAGAGAGGAGCAGCCACCACATGAAATTAGTCAAGGACAAAAGCAGCTCCAGTTTCCAGTGGGCAAGTCCTCAGACTGAAGGGTTGATGTTACTTTTCATCAATTGGCATTGAAGCATTTTTTTCTGTGTAAGTTGTTTCTTAGTCTTATACCCTTTGTTATTAATATTGTTGCTGTTACTGTATGTTTTCTTATCTCATTACTGTTCCCAGTTAATTTGTCTTATCTCAACCCATGAACTTTACGTTTTTTGCTTCCAGTTGGAGGGGAAGGGGGCAAATGAGTGGCAGTGATGCTGTGGCTTTAGCAAGAGCGCTAAATTGGACAATACTATCCCTAAACCACAACAGTAAGTAAGAGTGAGGAGTGATTTGAGTCATCAGCCTTTGAGGTCTCACAGTTGTAAGCAGGTGGCCTTGTGGCCACTCACCCAGGACCCACAGCTGCCATGAGATAAGTGGAGTGAGACAGTTCTGTTGTTAATCTTTGACTTCCTTGAGAAAGTGGCCTACAGTATATTTGCTTGCACATATGGGTTGATGCTGTGTCTAAGAGGTCTAACATCTTGTTTTCTAGCTGGCATTACATTAGAAAGTCTGTCTTTCAGGTGAGAGAACTGCTGTTCAGCTGACAACCTCCTGGCTCTTCTCCACCCACCAGCACCCTCCTGATTCAGTCCTGCTGCCTCTCTGTGTGTTTAATGAGCTTCCTCAGTTGTCAGCAAACTAGAATTTTAAAGAACTGACACATAGTAGGTGGTCCCAGCCAGCAAGACTTGGATTTCTGGCAGCACAAAGACAGTTCAAGAAGAGCCTGATGCCTTGTGAAAGCTGGCCTAGAACAGAGGCTAGATGGAGTTACAGAATAAAGCAGGGATTTGCTAAAAGGCCTCAAGGGATCCACCTTGGGCCCCACAAGAGCCCAGCCAGGCCTACGCCCAAGATGGACCCAGAACGGTCCCAGAATGGACGACCGGTCACAAGGTCTCTCACTTTGATCAGTTCTGGCCCATCTGCACATTGGAGTGAATTGTCCAATTCCAGCTTCAGCTTATGAAGTCCCACCCTTCTTGTTTTTCTCTCTTCAGCCCACCATTGTTTGTGCTCTTGGGCCTGAGATTTGGATCATTTGTCCTTGGTCCCCAGCTGGAGAAGGAATTGTTTTTTCTGCCTGCTCTGTGAAGAGAGCTCACCATCCCCTAATAGGAAGCTCAGAACTACACACTAAAGCAGCACAGAAGCTAAAAAATATAAAAGCTAAAACCTGAGGCATAGCCAGGAAAGATAAAATCCAGGGATTGTAGCTAAAATGGCTTTTCTAAAAGAGTGAGCTGCTGTAACTCTACACCAGTGTACAATTTTGCTCCTTTTCTGAATGCTCGGGTGAGACAGTCTTCTTTTGTGAGGTTCATATTTGGCTCATTTAATTTGATTTTGATTTCATCCATTTGTGTTTGTGGTTAAAGTCATCAATTCAGTTTTTTGAGATGTGGATTTTCAGAGTCAAAGTCAGCTGCCTTCTGTAACTGCCCTTCCCTGTGCTTTATTTTCTTTTGTTACTTCACAATAACCATAGTTTACTGCTATTTGCATAGAACTGGTGTTGGACATTCCAGTGCTGCACTGTCTCCTGACATTTGCCTTCATTGATCACTTTTCTGTCTGACATACTGATAACATTATTGAAAGGTTTTGTGTCTCTTGTTACAGCTGTAGCATAATTCTGTGTCTTGGTTTTCTGCAGTGGTGTCAGTTGGTGTTCTTCAGCCACACAGGGAGCTCAGGCTTTGGGTTCTAGGAATATTCACAGGTTGATTTTACTATGTCATTCATATATTTTCTTCTGAAAAAAATTGTATTTTACTGTCTCTTCCATTGTAGAGACAGAGAGACTGTCTCTTCCATTCTGCATTGGTCTACATAAGTGGTAATTTTTGAGATGGTGATGATTAAATTGAAAATATGCCCTTTTGATACTTTATTGTTTCCAAGTGACTGATTTTGTTATATAGTGATGCACTGTTCTGTGACTGGTGGGTGGCTTTTTCTCTTGAGTTGTTTTTGCAGTGATTTCCCATTAATACCCATAATATTGAATACCACACAGCTTGTCCTTGTTGAATGTTGTAAGCAGTTTCTGGTTTGAGCTACTAGCCTTCTCCTTATTAGGGTTGTATAAGTTTATGAGCATCTATTTCTGAAAAAGAGAAACATAGGGATTTTTTTCTGCTTTCTCGGGACACAGGAAGACCATTACACAATTAAAAGTGACTTCTAAGTAATTTTTTAAAAATTGGGTTTGTGCTTTCATTGGTCCCTTCTGAGGCATAAAGAATGGTTAATAACTTGGAATAGATTTAATTTTTTCCTTCAAAAATGCGGGAAAATGAACTGTTGCCTCATAACATTCTTTTGAAGAACTGTTGGGAGGTTGTAGCATTTTAATTCTCTTAAATACCCTAACTGGAGAGCTAACAGTCCTGAACAGACAAAAATATATTTGATGCAGAACACTCCTTAGACATTTAAATTGTAAGCAAAAAAACCCTCTAACAATGCTTGAAAATCCATTTGTGTTCCACCTAATTACTCAGCTGCTTACTCTATTTGCCACTGTAGTGTTATTGTTTAGAGAGCCTCAAAATCATTCCAAGAATACATGAATTGCTCATGTAGAAAATAAACAGAAAAACAGAGAAATGTCAGAGGCCAAGGTGAGTTGGGAGCTTCTGCTTTACCTCTTCTGTAGATTGGAAAAGACACAGAGAGGTCATTTTCCTTTTCACCATCCTCTAAACAAGCTTGTTTATCACATGGCCACCTTCTGTGCACACAGAAGTGGAAAGGCATGAAACAAAGGATGGAATCTGCAATTTGCTGGGTTTAATTTCATTGAAGGGTGTTCGAAGAACAAAGTAAAAATCACAGAATAATTTGGAATGAATGCCTGGAGGTCAGTCTGGTCCGCCCCACAGTCACAGCAGTGAACTGATAACCTAGCATTTTATTGCTGTCAAAAGAAGTGTGATAAGCATGTCTCAAACATAATGTTACACTGGTTTCTGCACATTCTTAAAATTATGTATATGCTTTAGTCTCATGTATTTCAAAATGAAATGCCTTATTCTCACTGGGTTCTCTATTGAATTCCCATACAATACTTGTTTTCACTTCACTTCCTCAGAGAAAACACGGTTTAAAAAAAAGAGTATGAAGTCACTGCTGTTGTGGCTGGCTGCTTTTTAATATTAGTGTCTTTGGTTTATTTTTAGATTTAATGTGAACAACACAATTCTTCATCCTGAAATTGCAGAATGGTGAGTAACATAAAATCTTTCTTTTTGAGTAATGAACCTATGTATACTGTACCATTGCTTTAGAGAGGTTCCCTCGGCAGAAGCCCCCTACTTTACCACAGGAGTTTTAATTTTAAATTGATTTCATGTTATGGACTGTAAGTAATGGACAAACATAATAATAGGGCAAGGTAACAACATTGAAAACCAAAGAATTTATGCAACATTATTAAGCATTGTATTTGGATATACATTTCTCTAGGATGTGTTAGAGTTTAAGACACATTTGTGTAAATACAAATCTGTATGAATGGGAAAAGAACTAAGGATAATTTATGTTCTAGCAACACAAATCAAACATAGATCAAAACTCTGTCTAAAACAAGTAGTATTTAATTAGGTGTTATTTCTTCACCAGGCAGCCTTAATTTTGTTGAATTATTATTCATATAATTGTACTTTGTAATTCTTGGGGAATTCTGCTGTAGCCTATCTGAAACAAACTAGATGTGTGACTAAGTGCAAAGCTGCCCCATTTTGTTAGTTTTCCTCTTTTGGCCAACATTGCTGAGTTTGTCCATAGGATTGCTGCTTAACTAAGGCTCTCTAGTTTTCCATTTAGAAAATTACTGAAGGAACATAGTAGTAGATGAAAGTACATAGTAGTGGATTTTTGCTAATGAATTAGGATTCATCTAAGCTTTTTTTTTTTTTTTTGTGCATTAATCTAGAAATGAGGAAGCAAATCCTTAGTTAAGACAGATAAGCTTAAAATACAAAACACAGGTGCACCCTCTGACTACCACTGTTGCAGAGTATTGTATTGCATGCTACTACATATTATGATTTTTCATGCTTATTTTCAGCACATATGCTGAGAACCATCTTCTGCTGTCTCCATGTACAGCTAATTGCCAACTTGAAAGCTGTGGAGATGTTATCTGAACATCAGTGATTTCAGAACATGTAGAATTGTTAAAAGGTCACGTATCTGTTGTGGCAGATATTTTTCATTGCTTGGCAGGACATAAAGCTGCAAAAGGGAAGTGGGGAGGCTTGGTGTAGTCATTGTTCCATCCCTGAGTCATGGGTGGGCCTGGAGCTGTGGTAGTGGACTCATTGCTCCTGCTGGTGAGTGTCAGGGGAGCTGATCTTTAGATTTTGCCTATTCTGTCCTTCTCGAATTTGTGCCATTCCTTTTCCTAAACAGAGAAGTTATGTTATGGGCTTGATTTCTGAGCTTAAGAGGGGTGAGGAAGAGGACCTGGAGAGGGCCTGTCTGACTTCCAAGCTTTGCACTGAAGACACAGCAGGACAACAGGGACAAAGATGGCAATTTTAGCTGCAGCAGGCTTTGGAGTAGGGCTACAGACTTTTTCCCAAGGTGGCTTTCAGGTTGTTTTCATCCACCTTACCAAGGTGCTTTTCCCCTCTGTGGTTTCAGTTAAAGGGTGATTAAATCTTCTCTAGGAAGCTCAGGTAAGGACAAACCTAAGGTCAGTGCCCTGGAGCTTGTATTGAGAGAGGTGGAGCATTGAGGCAGTAGAAGGGAGCTGGGGTGGAATCATCTCTTCAGTGAATTGTGAGTGGCAGCCTGGAATTCTGATTTAGTTCTTCCTGCAGTCTTATGGAAGAGGGATGCTTGGTATGCACCTTCTCTACACCTGGCTTTCAAGGAAAGGGAATTCTAAATAAAGAAAACGTTCAGATTTGTATTCAGAGATGTTTTAAAATGTTTTGCTGAGTTTGGTGGCTTTCATTTTAAGTCAGAAGTATGTTAAAGATGGTTGTTAGGATTTAAGTGTCTGGTGAAATTAACACATGAATGACAGGTCATGTATATTAAAGATTACAAAAGTAGAAATCTCCTTGGAATGTCAAGGTACCAGCCAAGAAAGTTTCTTTGGAAAGCAATATTTTTAGAGTTAACAATATTTTCTTTTAGGAAGATGAATTCTTGTGGGTTATATTCTAGGGTAGGAAATTGCATCCTTTGAATCATCTCCTTTCAGGGATGCATTTCATTTCAGATTTGGCAAGCTCTGAACTACTCTGTTTTACATGGTACTTGTCAGAAAAACTTTGGTCTATGCCATGCTGTCAAGCTGCCAGCTAGAGATGAAATGGCTGAGCTTTCTGAACCAGCCAGGGGGAACTGGGAGCTACAAAAGGCAACTCTAGTATTACACAGTCTTCTAATAAAATGCAGAAAAAATTACAAGAGGCAAAGTGTTTGTGGTTAAGGATCTGTTGCCTCTCTTGCTTACTTTTTCAAGATCTCATCATTTTCTGACTTGGTATGGAACTTAAGATAAAACAGAAGAATTCAACCTTACACTGGATTTCAGCAGTTTGCAGATGGGGTTTTATTTTTTTTTTTTTTTGTTTGTTTGTTTATTGAGTGGGTACATTTCCAAACAAATTTTAAAACTTTCATTTTAAATGTAAAGGCTTCCACTTCAAATTTCATAGTGAATGGCTATGCTAGGTATTGATTCCAGTGTTTTGAAAATAAAATGTCATCTAACAGAAGAAAGAATTCAAATTAGTTTAAATTATCTCCTTAGCAATCAGAAGATTTTCTGACACCAACACTTAGCCAAATGGTCTTTTGTTCCTGTAATTTGCCAATGTCTATCATAATTGTGTTGTTGCTAAAAGTAAACATTTAGTAATTTGCAGCTCTCTTTGTGCCTGTATATACTGTATTTCCCTGTAAACTCAGTGAAAATGGGGTTTGAAAGTTTTATGTGGAAGATTGAATATGTTCTGTATTTTGCATTATTTTGATGGAAAGCTATAAGTATTTATTTGTGAAAACTGATCTGCATGTTAATATCCTAAAACTGTGCATTTGCTTTTTGTGTTTTTAGAGGTTTTTCTATCTATGCTCTAAACCTCTTAGCATTTTTTTGAACTCCTGTCTTTGGTGTTCACCTGTCTTTCAGAATTGTACTGTGATGCCTCTCCTTTGCATATGTGCATTGCTGTGTTTGCTGGCTTTGATGCTAATTCAGTTAGCAAGTTTTTATGCATTGCAGAAGAACATAGATGTATCAACTGTGATAGAGAAATTTCTATAAATAAAATGTGGAAAGGTAACAGCAGAGGTGAGAAAGGGTAAAAAAAAGGCAGGCCTGTGAACTCTGCCCACATGGACATCATCCTTACGTATTAAGTGGTCTGTAAATCTAATATTTCTGGAAGAAAAAGGAGAAGTGGACATTCTCAGGTGTTTTCCATGTATGTCACAGAAAGGAGACACACATGTACTAGAATCAGCAAAACAAGCAAGCTGATAAAGCACTCATCTGATAACTGGAAACAAATACTTCTGGCAGCATTATCACAGCTACAGAATGCACATAGAGAAACAATTTATGTGTCTTTGAGGAGAGCACTGGTTTAAGAAAATAGAGTTGAGTTATGTGAGTTTCAGCCTAATAATTGCCTCAAATTCTATATGATCTTGACCACTTGATTAGGTCATGCAAGTAATTTGGTATCCAGACATTCAAAATGCCAAAATGCACTTTCAAGATTGAAATGATTGTTGTTTATATTAAAGTTTCTCTGTCCTGCTGGATGACTGACATGGGTGAAAAGACCAGCTGCTCATATGGCTAAGTGAAAATAAAAGTAGAAAATGTGTGTAAAAGGAGAATGAGGAAGATGAAATTTTACTCTGTTAAAATGAAAGGCAAAAAAAAGGTGAAAGTTTTAGGTCAGTCCTGACACTCAGAGACTTGTGCTTCTATTTAAATTAGATTGCACTGAGTGGCCCCCCTGCTAAGCTGAAGAGTGCCTTACATGTGGAATTTGAACATTGTGGCAATTTGCATTAGCTGGAGCCTGGAAATTATTTCTTCCCATTAAAATATGAATGCATTTATGCCGAGGCTGTAACTGGTCCAAGATCTGTTTTTAGTAGAATGTTGAAGTTTGCATTCTTGCAAAAAGGTGGGATTTTCTTCCTATCCTTATTTTGGAAGTGGGGGAAAACATCATGAGAACTGTGGACACTTATCACAAGATTGCCCTGGAGTGCCAACCACTGCTGTAAACCTGGCCTGGGAGGGTGCTGCTTTTTGCACTGTCAAAACAGTGAGCAGGTGGTGGAATACAGGCTTTTCTACTAGCCAGACATGATGAGGGCGCTCCATCAACAGTGCCACTGTAGCCTGGAGCCCAGTGTCTGGTGTAGGGTGAAGCTGATCCTGTTCCCTGCACAATCCTCCCTCTCCTTCCATCTCTCCTTCACCCCTTGGGTAGTGGTTTTTGTTGGTCTCAGAATGACTAAACATTTTCTGTAAAGTATTTTGGTGCCTGACCTTGTGTAAATGAAGGAGCTGTATTGCATAAATAGCCAGTCTGAGGCTGAGCATGAATTTCTGTATTCAAACAGATACATGAGAAGTTGTGGTCTAATACAAATACCTTAATCCTGAAGCCTTATGCTCAAGCCAAGGGAAATGGTTTCTAACACTGTTTGCACTTGCTCTGGAGCAGTTACTAACTTTTATTACTAGCAGATTGCAACAAAGAGATTAGACAACTGAATTATGAAACAGCCTATTTTTCGGGCAATTGCAGATCATGGATATGTACTGTATACTGAAGGTAATATAAAGGCACATCAAACAAGTATTGAATTACCCTGCTAGCACATACAGTCTTCCAAGGAATAGGATTTAAAACAAATTTAAAAATCTATAAGCCTTTGCTGCCTCATTCTAACTGAAACATATTTGAGCCACTCTTTTTTATGTCTTGGCTGAAAGACAGGAGTGGAAGTTTGTTTCCTCACTCACGGTCAGCAGATTTTACCATCCCAGTGTAATTTTTCCACCTGGGTGTGCATTTTAAAACCTTGTGCTTCTCATTCTCAGTTGCATTGTGATTATTCTGTGCCATCTTCCATTTGACTAAGAAAGTCAATCCACTCCCCTCTACAGTGTTTGTGTTTGTAAAAGCATTCTGATCAGTATCAGGATTTTACAAAGGTATCAGGATTTTACAAAGGTACCTTTACTCTTGCCAGAAGAGTTGTGTTTGAAGGGAGTGGCTGTGCTGTAGTAATGCATTGTCTGTGGGAAATGCTGTAATCTCACATCAGAGGCACTGATGGCTGAGAAACCTGTTTCTGGACTCATTAAAACAAACTACAGAGCAGAAATACAGTAAATAATTTTCTACAGCAGTGTGAGGAGGAGCATGTAACAATAAAAAGAGGGGTCTTGGTGGCAGTTTGAAAGTATAACAGTTATGGTTCTTTGTAACTACTGCAAACCCTGGAGTGCAGCTCGAAAACATGACTGAAATATTTTCATGCAATTCAATAGATGTAGTTCTGTACTTTGTAAACAGTAAGTGTGTACTTCACAGTTGCCTTTGAGATGGGCATGAAAAATACTAGGAATTCAGTTTGTGTAACAGTGGAAAGAGTGTGTGGTGTTTAATAGAGGTTATGGAACTCTGTCTGCTTTACTCTGCATGTCACACTCAATAGCTGCTTTTATTTGAAATACATGATGGAAATACATGTAGAGAAGAGTTAAACTGCATTTTTGATATGAGTTCAGAAGAGAGTATCAGGGCTCAGAAACATAATTCAGTATCTCATAAGGCACAAAGAGTAGGATGGGGTTTATAGGGCATTGATTTGTTTGGGGTTATATGTTTTTTATCTTCCTGCAGAAGCATGTGAAAGAATGGATATCGTGGCTGTAATTACTGCTGCTGTGGTTTCTGAATTCGTGGTTTGGGTTTTTGAACACAAAACAAAAATAGCATTTTTTCACACCACCCCTTGCCCTCCTTTTAAGGTCTTGCAAATAGGTGGGAGCAGGGATTGTGCTGAAGAGAAATTCTGGAGCTCTGTGAATTTAAATATGTAAAATAGTTTCAAAATGTGTTTAAAAGGAAATTGAGCATGCTTGTAGAAATGTTCCATTCAAAGTAGTGTTAGAGTTATGACAAATGCACAATTGCATTGGTTTTATTCCTAATGTATTGTAGAATGAGTTGAAAAAACGTTGGTTGAATCACTTGTTTGTAAGTATTAAATGGTGCAGGCTGATATTTGAAATTCTTGTGACTTGCCTTTGTAAGATTGTTTTACTAATGCTGAATCAATGCCAACAATACTTTGCTGTCATGAATACTGTAATAGCTGTGTGCTCTTGAGGTGTACTTGATCTAATCTTATTATAGGTGATGCATATTATTTCCAGGGTTTTTTCATTTTGCATTCTTTAGCTGTGAAGTTGCAGTCTAACATGCTATCTGTTGTTCTTCTCTTTAAGTCGTGTCATTAAGACAGACATGGAGTTGGAAGTTCTGCGCTACACCAATAAAATCTCCAGTGAAGCTCATAAAGAGGTAATGGATCCTTTACTGTTAATAATTTTTGCTCTTAGTGTAGCAGTGGTACTCAGAAAATGTCCCCAGCAACCCAGAATTACTTAGTAATAAAATAATGGAAAGGCTGGGTAGAAATAAGAGGATAATATCCCTCCTATTACAACCCAGTAATATACCTTGCATTGTCCTTGAACTCACTGGTGCGTTTGTGATGTGTGAGAAATGAGGTGTGGGTTTGGGTAAGAGCTCACCTCAGCTGAAGGTGACCTGCTTGCAGTCTCTCTGTTCTGTGTGCACAAATACCTGTATAATGATAGAGAAAGAAAAGATCAAGATTATTCAGGCCCATGTGCAGCTCTGAAAAGCTTAACTAGCAGGTAACTGTCCCCAGATCCTGATGGGCTGGGGAAGTGTTTCCATGCACAGTGTAGCACAGGGAAAGGATTCCTCAGGGTGCTCCTGAGAGCTGGGTGTGTCCCTGGGGCAGTGCTCACCCTGCTGTTCTGTTGCCATACCTGTGTGGCAGTGACAAGCCCAGGCTCTCAGCAGGGCTGGACCTGGCACTACACGTGGGGAGCTGCACCTCTCCTGGTGGTCATGGCAAACTCAGCCTGGGTGTCAGTCCTGTGCTCCATACAGTGATGCAGATCTGCCCCCGAGTTCTGAGACTGGGGATCAGAGGGAGCGTAGGTAAAACTGGCTGATGAGATAACTGACTCAGCTGTTGTCTTGGCTCCTGTTCCTCAGATATCCAAACTGTGAAGGGTAAAAATGTTCTAAAGTGAATATTGTAAAATTGAAAACTCAAAGGATTTTGAAAACTCAGTCATTTTGCATTCATATTCCTTGTTTTTTTGTCATCCTTGAATAATCTTATCACATCTGAGAGTATTCTTTTCTGTAGAGCAGCCACCTAGAACTTCTATAATACAGAAACAAAGGAATAAAACTTTCTTAGCAAATCTGAGAACAAGGATCAGATTTATGACTTGTAAACTGGTGTTAACTCTAGTAGTTTTCTGTTGATTCAGAACTCTAGTAGTTTTCTGTTGATTCAGATTTCAAAGTATAAAAAAGATTCTCCCATGATAATCCAGTTCATAGCTTTGTTTTGCCTAGGTAGAACAAAAGAACTTGCTGCCACGTTCACCACAGCTTTCACAATTGAACATTGGTATTTTGAGGAGCTGCACTTCTTTGGATATAGTAGTTTGACAATTAAACTTGCTCTATTGCTGGAGACTGCAGGCATTTTTAAAGATTAAAGTGTTTGATTCCAGTGTAGTTTTAAAATGCATCTACTGATGTAAATCGAAATGAAGTACAGATGATATTTTTGTAATATAGGTCTCTCTGGAGATAGTCATAAGTCATAAATTTATAAATATGAGATTTCCTCCTGCTATCATGGTCCCATGCTAATATGTATCTTACAGGTAATGAAGGCTGTAAAAGTAGGAATGAAAGAATACGAGCTGGAGAGGTAAGAATTCTTACACTAATTATAATAAAAAAAGATAATATCTCTGTAGCAGGGGGAAAAGCAGTAGCTGAGACAATGCAGTAGCATGAATTCAGTTGAGACTTAGAGTTCATTGGAGTTTGAAGGCCATTGTAAGTATTATGTTGTCATTTGGAGGTGGTACTTCATCTGTTTCAAACATGCATTTGATGAGGGGTGATTATTTTTTGGTTAAGCATAGCATATCTCTCTTCCTGGAGTTACAGTAATTTACAGAGGCTTGAAAATAGCTGTTTTCCTTGTTTGAAGCCATCCATTAAATTGTGTTTATGGTTAAACATTGCCTTTAGTCTAGTTATGCTTAGAAGGCTGCATGAGTGGGTGTTTAAGAGTCTTATGAAGGGCTGTGTTCAATTACATTTTGCCTGCAATTACAAGGCAGCAATACCTGTACTTAGCCTGCACAAGGAGCTCAGCTCACACGTGTGAAGGGTGTTCTAGAGCTGCTGAGAAGTCAATAAGAAAGCAGCAGATATCTCTTATGTTGAAAGGAGTGTGCTGTACAGGCATCCATGAGGGGTTTGGCTGGCCCTAACTGATACACTAATGATGTGTCTAGATCTAAGGAAAACATTGCCTCCTTCCTTGAATCAATATTTACATTATGTCATCAGCATTTATCATATAAAGCATGGTTTTGATCATCAAGTCCATTTATTTTTAGCTTGTACATGGTATTTTCAATTTTCAAAGTATTTGCATAATGAAGAAACAGAAAGTAGCAGTCATATGTCAATTACTGTTGTTTCTTGGCAGTAATTTTTCAAAAGCTTGCAAACAGGCTAGAGCAGCACCCAGGGAAGGGAATATAAAGAGACCACAGTATTTGTCATAAGGATTTCAAGGTAGCTCAAAAGACAAATAAAGCCCTTAGAAGATACTAATGTTCCATTTAAGCAGTTTAAATTTCTGAAGATACTATAGTCTCATGCCTATAATTTGTCAGTGTCTCAAACTGCATTTACACATACCACCAGGGCACAGGGAAAAAATAAATTGATTACATTCTGTCTATAGCTTTGTTTTAAACTTCGTGTTTGTGTTCATTTTACTCACTGGCCATGCTATACATGCCAATTGAGAAATTTTGGCTCTGGAAGTCATTAGCAATCAAAAATTTCCCTAGAGCAGAATTTGTTCTCAGATGCTTTTAAATTCCATGACCCTGGCAGTTTGATTTAAATGTCATGCAACAACTACATATATAAACACTCTTTGTAAGTCTACAAGGTATATTACCTTTTTTCTCCAGGACTTTCATTCTTCCCTGGCTAGCTCCTTCCACACACATCAACCATTTGAAAAGATTATTTATATCTTTCAATTGAAAAAAATAAATATATTAAACAGCTACTACACCTATTTAAAATTGCTTTCTATTCTTCCATACACCTTGATGGATTACACTTCTTGAAAGAGTTTGGAGTTATTTAGCTAATGAAAGAGGTCTTGGCAGACTGCTCTACTGTGTCTGCCTTGGAGACTATAATTAGAATTTCAGTTTCTTTTACTGGTGGAATTAATCCCTGCACCCATTCCTTTAGGAAAAAAGGGCCCTAAAAATTTAAACGCTGTCTGCTGTTCTTCTGTCTGCTAGGAAGAATAATGGCAGAGATCCCAAAAGCAATTAAAATAGTCTGTTACTGGATGTAGGACCTAAGTGTTGCCTTTTCTTTGTCCATTTGGTTAAACACTGGTAAATTATTTTGAACCACTAATGTGTTAATGCTGAGATATATAAAAAATAAATGCATTTAACTGCAACTCCAATCAGCCCTGACTTCTTTTCTGGTTTGATATTATTTAACTTTAATGTGTGGTCGATTGACTTTAAGGAGACAGCCAAGGCAGTTATCTACAAACAGTAATTCACAGCCTGTGTAATTGCATGTAAAGTGATTTTGGTAGGTCAGATTCTGGGTTTTCTCTGAAGCAGTTTGTTTAGTATTTGTGCTTATCTCATGTTTAATTAATCTTCTTTAATTAAAGGCTTTTAATTATGAAACTGCTCCGTAGTGAATATATTGTTCAAAATGTAGCAAAATGGTAAAAGAAGTCTTCAGCTTGAGAAGTATGTGATTAAAATCTGTGATTCCAGCAAAGTTGTTTGAGTGTGATTATATAGACAAAGATGGTTTGTGTATATATAAAAACACACTGAATGTGCTAATTAGGACCTACAGTTACTTGTTTCAGTCTTCTCTGAAGGCCTGGAGATAACTTCTCTAGATCAGTGTTTATCAATTTCTAGACTTCATCTGTGTATTATCAAATTTAGAGTGGAATCTTCTGTTCATTGCCTCACTTGTTCCCTTTTTATTAAAAATAACATTTTTACAATTGGGGTGGCTACTTGGAATGTCAGTTTGATTGGGTAATGACATGAAAGTGTATGCTGTGCAGCAGATGAGTGACTTCCTGCATCACGAGTTCTGGACACACAGCTGTTGTATGCATTGCTCATTTTTGTGGGGGTTTATCCCCTTCTTAAAAGCACTGAAGGTCCAGATGTCCAGAATAAGACACTCCAACCCTAAAGTTGTGTTAAACAGGACATCCCTTATTCAGGCCTGAGGTTCATGCTGGAGATCCTAACCTAATGTGGACATGTGGTTCTATGAGAGTGTTACTTACATACAGCTACTACATGCATATTAAAATTTATCATTACCATAAATCCCACCCTTTGTTCCTGGAGGTTCAGTCCTTTGTTTTCTCTGTCATGGCATTCTTGAGCCAGATGTCTTTGTATCTCCCAACTGTCCTTGCTGAAAACAGCTTTTGCATGCCTTGTTTCTTTGCTAAAAACTTCGTAGGCACATTAGACTGTATTAACCCTTTTGGTGTGGCTGTGGTAGGAGTGTGTGCACAGTCCTGGGTTCATTAGATGATGATGTATTTATCACTGCCTTGAGGATTCCAGGCAGCACTAAACCAGCCCTAAACAGCCATTCCCTTGTCCCACACCCCCCTGGATTCTGTGACTGTCTCTGAAACCTCTGCAGCTGCTGAACATGGGAGCCCCTGGGGCTTACCATGCAAATAACTGTGCAGTGCCCAAAACTTAGGGTCTGATCCTGCAGAGTGGAGCCCTTTAAAACAAAGGAGCGTTGGCTAGTGAGCCCCTGTACAGCGTACAGGGAGCATTGGCTAGTGCACAGGGGGCAGTGCACAGGGGGCAGTGGCTCGTATGCAGAGCAGACAGCATGGGCACCTGGAGGGGATCCTGCCCCTCTGCCCTCAGGTGAGACCCCCCTGCAGAGCTGCCCCAGCCTGGCCAGCACAGGAGGGACCTGGAGCTGCTGAGAGAGCCCAGAGGAGGCACAGCAGGAGCAGAGGATGGAGCAGCTCTGCTGGGAGGAAAGGCTGGCACAGCTGGCATCGCTCACCTGCACAGGAGGAGCTTCTATTGTGACCTAATTGTGGCCTTCCAGTACCTCAAGGGAGCTACCTGAAATATGGACAGGCACTACTTACAAGGGCCTGGATTGACGAGACAAGGGGGGATGGTGTCAAACTGACAGAGAGCAGAGCTAGGTGGAATATTAGGGGAAAAAAAATCTTCATTGTGAGGGGAAATAATTGTGGGGATTTTGTAGCAGTTAATACTAAACTTAAACTCCACTCTGCTCTAACGGCAATAATTTGAAGAATAAAATGGCAAGAAAGCAGCTACAGAGGTTGTAGCTTGGTTTTTTGTTGGTTTACAATGCTCACAGACTATTTTTACACCTTGCCTCTCTTACCAGCTGAGGCTGATAAAAGTTCTTTATCCCTATTCTTTTCAGTGCTGTTGCTGATTCCAGAGCAGAGCTTGGGCTCTGAGATGAGTTGCTGTTGCATCTGTCAGTGTTAAATTTCACTATCTGGGGAAGTCTGAGAGCATTCTCACAGATTATGGCTCTCATCTTTCATTTTTCTCTCTCCCCTCTGCTCCAGTGGAACAAACTGAAAATAAAACAAACATGTTATTTCACTAAAGAAGAGAAACTAGCCAGAATAGTTTTATTTTCCTTTGGGTATTTCCTTTTAGTGAAATTCTGATGATTTTAGCTAATCAGTATTTGCCACTTACCATTTCCTGATGATTTTGCTCTTTGAATGTTTTTGAAAGTCACTGATTTCTGCAGCACATGATCTTCAAAAATACTTAATTTTTTTCATGAGGCTGGATAAATTTTCAGCTCAATTATAACCTTTGTAAGTGCTTCACATAAGTGTGCATAGATATTAAATGAGAATGCCCACTGCAGCTGACAGAAATACACAGGTGAATCTTTCAGAGTTACTTTTTGGTGTGGGAATGGTGTTGAATTGTATCATGACCCTCACTGCTATTTGTGTGTTTTTATTAAACAAGAGACCAGCACTCCATTAGTCTGAAGCAGCATGTCAGTCAGCTCAGTTACTGATATGTCTTTTATGTCTTTTTCTTTTCATTTTTTTAACAGTTAGTGTCATGTATTATTAGTGTTGTGTATATGCCTTATTTCCCAAACTGCCTTGCAATTAGAGGTCATGTGTGTTTCAATGTAGGGTGCTGTTATCAAAAGGTTAGTTTTAAGACTTTAAAATACATGAGAAACAGAGAGAGAGGTGGAAGGTGACCTTTTCCTGCATTTTAAAAGCCCAGCACAATCCACTGATTTTTCCTTTGTTTCTGCAGGCCTGTGTGGTAGGGCGGGAGTCTGCCTACTGTCTGAATGGTGTTTGGTGTAAGATCATCATGTACCTGGTATTATTTATTTGTCTGTGTATCTTCTTCTAGCACAAAGGTTGAAGGAAGAAGTGGATCAGCCACAATCTCTGTTTTTAGCAAGAAATCCTCACCATGCAGCAGCCCAGGAGCTTCTGTTCAGCATGGATGCACTGGGGCTGGCAGGGAAGGAGTAGTGAGCCAGTGGTTTTGAACCTGTGCCTGTGTTAGGGCAGCAGGGGTCATCCAGAGCTGCCTAAAAATG